CAACGTGACGAGACAACAATGTGTGTGTAGATAGTGAGTAATTGATCTGCAGTCAGCGAGTATTATTGACGTTAACGTTCGTTCGTTATAGCGTTTGTTATAGAGCGACTGTTGAAAATAAGTGTATCGGTAAAGTCATATTCGGAAAGAATAAACCAGTTTTATTAAGAAAGGACTTGTGTCGCTAAAGTTTCGTCGGAACGAAGTTACGGAAAGTTAATTAACAAACGGAGACGTAACAATATTTATTTTTATTTTTCACTTTTATTTTTACTTATGTTACTGTTACGTATCCGCTTGTTTGATAATTTTCGGTAGAAATTCTTTCTGGGGAACTTCAGTGATACAAGTCCTTTCTTGATTAAACCAGTTTATTCTTTCTGGATACAACTCTTAGTACACGGTATTACACAGCATTTCCATCGTCACTTTAAACTTAACAACCTTTATAACACACGCTATAAATCACAGTGATTCACACTCTTTACTTACGGGGCCTACTGTGCGCTTGACTCAATTATCTATCTCTTCAATCCCGCTGGTTTTTCTCGCCAGGCTTATATACTAAAAAAGAGGGCGTCTTGAACAAACTCGGTCTTTCATTATCCTTCGAGAAACTCCAGCGCGCATGCTCCCATTGTCGCGTGACTTCCGCTGTCGTAATATTATCTAACAAGGGAAAACACAAGGACTAACAAGAGTGTCTTTCTATTAAAGTTCTAATTATCTCTTGCTGGTTTTAAATTTTTTCACTTTAAAGCACATACGATCACTTGCCCATTGAAGTGGCATAATTATGCTCCGTTATTGTTGGGGTGGACAAGCCAAAAGAGGGCCCGAAGGGTCTGACAGATTTTAGAATTGCCGACAAAGGGAGAGACATACAATTTAATTTGTTTGAACAAAAGGGTAGTTACTCTATTCATTCATGTTAATGATATCAATCAGCCAGAATTGTACCTATGATTATAGGAAAATAAATGTATGGGGCCCAATTACTATTTATGAAGGGGGGGGCATCTTTTGTACTTACGTCACTGGCCCATTATATTGTATTATTGTGTACTGTCTTAGTAGTGTATTGCTTTTGTTTTTTTATTTTGTTAATAGTGATCACCATCGAATTTCTTTCTTTGTGATTTACCTGTCCCAACGAAATATACATCCAAGCCCAAGATCTGATAACCTCCTGTTGTTAGCGGGCCTATCTTCTCCTTTCGGCTGGTTATCGGAGAGATACCACAAGTTTCTAATCATAAGTGTTTGATATGAGGTGAAGGTCGAAATAGTAGTATAACTTCTTTAAAAAAAAATAATAATAATAAGAAAACGTACTCAGTAAGACACTGATTGAGAGTCAGCCTTAAACGAACTGTTGAAGAAACTATAGCGGATTTCAGTTTCGTGTAATATTTGCAACTAATATGCGTATTGTACTTCAGCTAAACTTCTATAATTGGTGTACTTTTTCTGTGAGATAGCTAATTTGTGCAGTTTTGGGCTTAACTACAGACAAAAAAATATAAAACATCACGGCTAACTACAGAGCTATATTAAATTCTGTTAAATTCTATATTTGTTACAGTTACTCTCTCCAGGTGGAAGAAAGAGAAGGGTTATTTGAAATATTTTTGCTATGTTTCCCACTTTAAAATTTTAAGGTAAAATTATTCGTTTAAAATTAAATATTCAATTAGAAAAGAGAACTTACCAGACATTTGTGATTAACGTCTGCTTTCAATAGAGTTAATTTTTTATCAGAATATTAACCAATCAGATCCCTTGATAGTTATCGCTCGTGATAGTTTGGAATAGATCGAACTTTAGCGTTGATTAAGATTGTGCTACATGTTGCTTTCTGAAGTGTTTAATGTACCTGTTGATGCGTTGTTGTAACTTGTAGATAATAGGTCGGTTGTGGAACAGGCCTAAGTAACTAGTACTTGTGTTTAAAACAGTGTCTTTGACGATGTATCTTGGACTAGTTCTATTCTATTTTTTCATATTACTGTATGCTTTGATGCTATTACCTATTTCTTTGGCCTTTAAGGAAAAAGGTAAGCTAAAGTTGAATTAACTGGATTGAAAAGTTTTTATTCAATATTTACTATATAGGCTAAAAAATGCTGACTGTAGTGTTAATGTTATTACCATGTATATTTTCGACAAAATTTCAAAACAACAATCTCAAAAGCACTATATTAAACTTAAAGTTTATATGAGGTGAAGGTCGAAATAGTAGTATATCTCATCGAGTGAAACGTACAGGGGCTAAAGCTGTATTTTTGTACATTTACTCAGGTGAATTGTATTTAACGAAAACAGCAATATATAAAAATCGTAGAAATAATATTTTTCCATTATGTATATGGTATTTTAGAAATCAGAAATACTGGTATAAGAAGCTAGATAAAAACTTAGGAGGATTATTTAGTGTAACTACTATGATACATTTTTGTATTAAATATATATCTATATACATACTAGTAATAGTATTATACATCAAACCAGATCTACACTATAGCAGTTTCTCTTTCATTACGCTGATTGACAGACATGGATCCAAAGTATTCAATGTTATGTTGTTGTAGTATGTGTTATATTTTATAATTCTCCTCATTACGTTGTTTAATACATACAGAACAGAAGTATTCAGTGTTATATAATTTTATTAGTTGTTATGTTATATAAGTATCCTCATTAACCTGAATAACACAGAGAGCAAAAGTATTCAATGCTATTTAGTTGTAGAATTTATCATGATTACTCTGCCTAAACAGTCTATCAAAGAATGTATTATATTGTATAATTCTCCTCATTATGCTGACATTTATCAAGCATGCACGCTAATCGTTAACCAAAATGTATAACAGCTTTTTAAAAAGTTAGCGGTATTAAACACCAGAATAATACAATTAAAGTTTACAAACATTAAGCAATTAAACCTCATAGGTACTAAAATGAGTTGTATTTACAACTTTGTTATATAATTTTCGCCTGGAGGTTGATGGTCCTGATGCGGCCCTTGAAGCCGTCCTTCGTCAATCCAGACATATACAAAGGCCAGGACCTTTTGTGCTTTCTACATCCTTACTCTGCCATTATTGATAAACCAGATAGAAAAGATACAACTTAAACCATTTTCCTTTGTATTGATTAAGTTGTTGAATAATATTACTAAGATTAAAAAATTTCATGTTCTAGTTTGATTTCGTTACAACTTCAAAATCTACGAGAAAGGCACAATGAACATTTTGTTTTATTCACAATAACTGCTGTCTTTAAAAACGTTTTATTTTGTCTATGGATTTTTACAAAGATGGAACTGAGAGAGTAAAAAAAAACTTTATAAAAATATGTTAGGGAAGAATCAACTACTATTTTGGATTGTGTAGTTTGTTTGTTTTTCGCTTTTTCAGGGAATAGTAATTACGTCGCTTCTAAGTGTATACGTGTAAAATTCTTCGCTCAACCAATTCAAATATCAGGATTTGTGGGTTAAAAAAGAACAAAACTGTTAGCTAATGACAACAACGCAATCACGTAGTGCTATCGTTAATCACCAATGATTTATGGATACTACCAAGTTGAACAGGAGTAAAATTGTTATCATCGATATATACTCCTGGCTTATTGATAGAAATAGACGCACTCTTTATAAGGACACAACTTGAGGTTTAACAGATTTTACTTTTAATCATTGCTTTCTAAATTACAGGTAAGAAATAATACGTTGATTTAGCACTATGTTGTAGAGCATTAAAAACCGAGATTTCTCACAGTTGGTGTTCAAGTTGATATTTTCGTCTTATTTGTTTCAACACTAATGGACATGAGTTCAATTTCCTCTAACATAACACCTACCTCTATTGTTGAAAGCAACTGTTTCCTTTCAAACAGATATTCATTAGTGATAAGGCGATACCACGTATTTTCATGTACTATTCATTAAGGTATGCTGTAACCAAAATGAAATGCTACTTTGCCTTTATCTCTATGGATTTACGCACTGATAAACCACTATTGCGACGCTATCACGTCACAATAGTAGGAGACTTCATTTATATAAATGTTCTAGAGACTGATTGTGTGATGTGACTGGTGCTGTTTAAGTATTTTAAATGCAGATATGTAACCATATCATGGTTAGTCTCCAAGACAATGGGTAAGGGTGAAATTTCTCCAAGTTTAATTGTGAAATACTTTTAGGTGCTTCTCTTGCAGAACTATCGTTAACAAAAACTGTTTCTTCTGTCATCAAAGTGTATTGACAGTGGAAATCGAAAAGGAATACATCTACCATTAATAAAAATTGTTTCAGCTAACCACTGGTGACTGACCAAGGAAATAAGCGATTGGACGAACACTTAAAGTGCAAGAGATGTCAAACTATACCATAATTGACTAATTACTTCAACAATGGTTTGTATTTCAGTGTTTCCAAATGTACTATGCAAAAAGCTTCAAAAACTGTCAAATGGTAGCCCCAAACCACTGCTACCCTAGACGCATTGAGGAAAGCATTGATTATAACGTAAAATGTGGTCAGATTGGTCACATTTAATTTTCTTCTGCACTGTTGGTAAAATACAAATAGTGGGAAAAAAATCACATGATATGTGCCATGCTTAAATTTTTCCGACAGTACAAGCATTTAGAGGGTTTTAACGATGGAACGTCTTTTATGGCAGAAGATGAGCGCTTTGAGTTCTTTACCAATACAAACTAGTGACCTGAATCCCCAGTTGGTGTCTTGAAAAATCAGAATAGAAAACTATGATCGACATCATACCGAAACGACGAAAATTCCCGCACCTCGAATATTTTAAGCAGCTAGCGACACCTCTGATACAAACAACATCCAGATTTTTTCATTTAACTAAATGCCGTTCCCGATCATATCCACCCCGGGTTGCATCTTTATGGAAAGTTAAATACTGTGGTCTGTGCAAGTTATTACTTTACATGATTTGTATTATTCTTTCCTGTCTAAATAATACAGATCGATTAATAATTACACGCTGACCTAATTGTAACTAATAAAATTTAGTCAATGATTTAAGGAAATGAAAATGCTATGATGTACTGTATCTTCCACATTCTATGCTTTGGAAATGTCCTATATTTCCAATGTCGGAAATATTTTCTTCCAGGTAGTAAGTAGGGTTATTACATTTTTCGGTTCGCTGTCAACATATGTGATTTACGCTGATCTTTTTCATGCCACAGATCTTGAAATGATATATAATTATGTGTCTTTTTATAATGTATTTTGCACGTACGTGTTGTAGGCGGTGAATTTTCCTCAGACTAACTGATAGTACACGCGGGTTAGAAAATTCATCATGCTGAAAATTACTACTAATTTTACACATAACTGGTTGCTAAAAACTGATGAAACTCGATACAAAATTGGCTACAGGTGTAAGTGTAATATGCAATACTACATACTCTCTTATAGTGTGTATTTGATATTCATTCTAAATATCAGTTTTTAAGTTTTGATTTGGAACATCGTAAATCCTGTTGAGGTCATGTCTAGTTAAGCTAAGACTGAATTAGTTTAATGTTGCTTTGTAGTTTACCTGATCAAATAACTTACCTGCTGTTTCATGGGATAATAACAGCGTGTTCTACCCGATCTTGTGTATGTGGATATCAAACCTTGTAAATGTCACGTGGGAGAACAAATATTTCCGTATTCCAGTGTCCATTTTTGTGATTGGCCAAACATAGTGAGAATGTGTATTGGGAATACAGTTTTGGCGCTTTCAGCTCATATTCGCACTAACTTCTGTGGAAAGTAGTAATTTCTCTGAGGGAGCCAAAGTTTACTGTGGAAGTCCTCTTTTTGTGTCACTGTATGTTTCCCCGCTGCTCTATTCTGTACTTTAAAAAGAGTTTAAGTCTCCTCATTTATTTACATAACTTACTTTATTTGCAAAGGAACGAAATAACAAACTGAGTGATAATCAACTAGAAATTCACTTAACAGCTAGATACCTTATAAATGAAGATAACCAAAAAAATGTTTGTGAATGAATTCAGATAGCTGTATGTGACTGTTGTCACTAAAATGCAGCAAATTTTCTCACTTGAGAAGTCAATCTTGAAGAATCTATAATGTCTGAATCCACCCAAGAGACACGAGGAGATAAGCCAGTGGTTCTTATCAATTTACTGTATCAGAAGCTAAGCTATGTGTTCCCTAATGACCAGGATTTAGACAAAGTAGTGAAAAAGTGGAAAGATTACCACCTGGACCATTAAACTGAAGAGAACTGCTATGCTGAAAAATCTATTGAAACAAAACATCTGAAAAATATTGGTGGGTACTGGGGAAGGTCTTCAGAATTAGCCAGGAAAAGAATACATCTTTGAAAAAAAAAATAATGCTAAATAGTACTATAATAAAAATAGTTGTGCTTTTTCATGGCAATACACAAATTAAATGAGGGTCCAATCTAAACAAGAATGTAATGTCCAAGAAGCATATCCATTTGAAAGAAAATAAAGACTGTGTAGAACTGAAAAGAATCCAAAAAAGAGTCAAAATTAGTTTCCTAGTCTTTGTGCTGATATTTTTGTTAGAAAAGTGTAGTTTATTTTTACGTTAATTCTACCCACTTTTCTGCATTTATGTTTTGATATATGATTTATGTTACTTGTGTTTGCATTCAAAAATAATAAAAATGGCGGAAATGCATGGTTGTAGGGGCATATGGAGACCACGATTAATATTAATGTTTAAATGATACATTTGAAATGTTTATAGAGAGTCATAAAGTTCTACTGTATTTTTATACGCGTGTATCCTATATTTTACTGAGACTTCGTTCCACTTCGTGATAGTCTGTTCATGCTTTGACGTGTTGTTTAGTCCGTCAGAAAGCACTTATAAATTGAGAATTGTAATTAGTAAATACTGTAATTCGTTTGTGTCAAAGCTAGTACGTTATATATTTGAATAAGATATGTTTTACATTTTCATACATGATTGGTTGAAGATTCACAACCGTAGCCTTCCATGAACACTTAAAACTTAGCTAAATTAATT